TTTAAAAAAAAAAAAAAAAAAAAAAAAAAAAAAGAAATGTACCTACCAATTTTCGGAAAAGGGTCTTCCTCCCGACAGCGGAGCAAAGTTTGCCAAAGTGCGACGCGCAGATTTTTCTCGTATAAAATTCTTTGTCTTTGCAGAGAGCGATATATCTATCCAGAAAAATCTTTTCTGTCATCTCTTTGCCAATGAGCGGCGCCATTTTGCACATGAGCTGTGAATCGATATAACATATACGATATATCTTTTAGGAAATCGTGGAAACGGATATTATATATATATATATATATATATATTTCTTTTATATATATATATATATTTATTTAAGGAAACATGATTTAACAAAGAAAAGAAAAATTGGTAAAATGGATAAAATGAAAGGAGGGAACAAAGTAGAGATGTTATACGATATGGATAAATTGATAAATTCACTCGCACATTTTCTAAATGTCGTTTTTCTCCTCATACGTGTATTTTTTAATTTAAAAGAGAGAAAACATATCGGACAACGTTGCCGTTTGAATCTCGACGAAGATATAAATCGCACCGTTCCGCTCATCAAAGCTGGCTGTGATACGAGTCCAAGTTACCACATCACAACCACTCTGATGGGAGGAACAGTCGAATTTTCGGTGGATATAAAAAAAAAAAAAAAAAAAAAAACCTGGAAAAGAAGAAGAAGCGGCAAATAGATAAAAGATGGCTCGAGTCGAACGAGTTCGGAATAATTGCGAAAGATCGATCGTTTCGCGACGATTCTCGAATACTTCCTTGCGTATACCCGCATCCGTACGAATCAGAAGGTCATTGTTCGACGACCATACGAATTGGACTCGGAGGTGAATCATTCTATCGTTATTCGACAACATGGCGTTTCATCGTATTTTATTCTTCCCCGTATTCGTCTACCACTCGTAAATTAGAACGATCGAATATTAACTCCCGTTTAAAAATCTTGGAACGAACTTTTAAATATTCTACATCGATATCGATATCTGTTACTTCAAATTCTGACGAATTAATTAATTATTTCAAGTTCGATATCGTTTGACGAAGAGAAGAAAAAAAAAAAATGAAAAATGAAAAAAGATAAGATATAATCTATAGGAATGACGCATAAGGAAGCGATGTTGAGATCGGTGTTCAATAAACGCGATCACGTCCTTCACGGATCGTGCGAATCCATGAGAGGAAGTCGACTATGAAACAGTCTTTCCCGAAATTGGAAACTGTGCGCTGAAGACTCGCTCTCCGTATCGGGACGGGACTCGATCGGAAATGTTTTTCTTTAAAATGGCTCGCGATGGAACGATGTATTTCGCGGGAAAACGATCGCACGCCGCCTATAGAAGAATGAGCGAAAAACGATCGAGAATGGATTTACGAGCGTAAAGGCGAGCAACGTTACAACGTTGGTTTTACCAGAGAATCACCGAGCCTATCTTAAGTCTTTACTCAATGACGATGAAAGATGGAACTCGATGAGAATCGATGATAATCGTTGGTTCGACGCGACGCCACGCTCATCAAAGCTGGCTGTGATATGAACGCTCGTATCAGCATATCACAACCACTTTGTGAGCGGTGCACACGCGCCACAATCTTCCCATTTTTCGAACACAAGTTTCCTCGCAAAAAAACTATCGGGATTTCAGCGATATCCCAATAACGGAATGGACGAATCGGATCAATTGGTGTCTCCATAGAGACAGAGGAGACACGGATTCGTTGCAAAAAACGGCGATCCAAATCGTCAAAAATGGCTGTGATATGAAATCTAGAAAAGCAACACGCCACAACCAATTTGACGATTGGATCGCGTTGCGCTCTCGTTCTCCATCGTGCCCTCCATCTTCTGCCTCCACCTCTATCGCGTCCTCTTCCGATGATCGTGCGAGAACACGCTCGAACGAACGAAGAAAAATAAAAAAAAAAAAAAAAAAAGCGCGCGATTAAGAACAGAAGCGAAAAGATTACGCGTTTTATTATCCGTTATCCGGTGTTCATCGAGCATACACGGTTGATTATTAATTAAACGGGCATTAAGCATATCCGAACGAAGCGATACACGAACACACACGGTCCTTGACGATCGATTCTGCGGGCCAAGCTCATCAAAATGGCTGTGATATGACTCGAAACATTCCACAACCAATTTGATGTATCGGACCGCAAAAGGTATTTTCATTTCGGTGCTGTATACTCGATACAACGTTCGTCTCTCTCTCTCTCTCTCTCTCTCTCGCACACTCGCTCTCGCTCTCGCTCTCCCCAATCCGTACAATCTCTCCCTTTTCGCGTGGTTCCTCCGTTGCGGATCGCACATTTTCCATTCTTCCAAAGATACGTGTGCTCTCATCCTTCTCTCTGCTAAATATTTCCACCACGTTTCTCTTTTCGTTTTCTCTCGCGCCGTAGACGGACACAATTTTGCTCATCAAAGCTGGCTGTGATAGTCGATCTCTATGACAAACCAACTTTGATGGTAAAAGCATGTCCTTATCCGGGGATATTTTGCCCCCGTTTCTTGTTCTTCGTCCTC